CCTCCTTCTTCTTCTTGTCTCTCTCCTTATCTCTAGTGGGTAGTTAGTTAGTTGTTACTGTGTTTACTAAAGAGAGTGAAGTGTGTGTGATATGTTTTTGTTGATTTAAGGTCTATATTTTGTTTGTGTAATAGTTTTGTTTTTGTTTTTTAAGTTTCTTGTAAGGAGTTTAGTTTCCTGTTATATTATTAACAAATACAAGGAAACGGAACCTAACAGAACACATCAATAAATTCTACACAAAATTCTCTATCTTTTAATATCAGAACCAAAATTTATACAGAAGACTAGTTTGACAAACATAGTGTGTGAAAATCCAGCAATTTCCTCTGCTGCGCCCGTTAGTTTAGTGCGAAACCTTTTGACTAGTGTACGTTTGACAGGCATACTAAAAATCTTTTTACGCTGTCAAACCTGGAGAAGTTTTTATAGTCAGTCTATGAGATAAAGAAAGTTTTAGTGAAGTTTCGTGTATTTGTAGCATAATCTAAAGGTATAGTAAAGTTATGCGAAACCTCCGAGTTTTTGTTTGGTAAATTTTTTTCCGTGTAGTTCAAGCGAGTTGTGCCGGAATCATGTTTCTAAAAAAGAGTCCAGCATTATAAAAATAATCCCCGATAGAACTATTCAAAACGCTTGGAAATCTTTTATACTTGAAATGGTTCTTTAAATTATCTAGAACCTTTGTATGGTTTAGTAATAACCAAATGGTACCTTAAAAAGTTCAGCATCTTCGCTAAAACCCTCTATGGTTTCTTATGACATCATTTTTTTTAAAGAGTGCCTATATGTATCCGCTTAACATTCAGCTTGAAGGGGCTAGCAATGAGCTACGTGGTAAAAAACAAAATAAAAAAACACAAGAATATTCGCATATACCTTACTCACTTGCACAACTAGGTAAATGACTTTTTTCGTTCGCGCAGCTATGACGCTGATAAAAAGTCGCCGAAAAAGTTCTAGTTGTTGATAGAGAAAGAAAATAAACGAGAAATTTTCGATTCTTTTCGTGATGTTCGTTCTTGACTCAGGCTTTTTCGCGTGCATGCTCGAAACATTCTTGTTATCGACAGATATTTTTGTAGAAAGAGTTACAATCAAGATTTGATGATGATCAGCAGATGTTCCATAAAATTATTCAATTCTCAAATGGCGAAGAGAGTGTGGATGTAGATAAAGAGAAGATACCGACATTCATCACCCTTATTCTACACCTTTAATTGTTTTCGAAAAAAACAAAATTTAGTACTAGGATTACAAGTGACATTCTACCAATGATGTTCGGTTGAATTATTTAATGATAAAAACAGGTTTCAATAAAGTTCCTTAGAGATAATATGCTCAAAAGATGATACCAATCGAACTATTTTACGGTTTGCAGATTCTACTATTGTTGACAAATTATCTTCTGTAAGAGCAACGATTTTTGTCCTCTCTCATAATTGATGTGAATAGATTAACGTCCCTTTTACACCACTGCACAAGCAAATTTCTTTACGCATTTTATCAACTTGAGAAAGATATGAGATATCATAGTGGTTTGTTTTTCGTGTTCCCTTAGTTATCAGTGTATCAAAAATATAGAAGCACATTTACAACCAGCAAATTGTTATCAGAAGGGAAACAAAAGAAATTGAGTCCGCTTGTTATCTTTTTTGTTTTGATATAACTTATCTCACCCACAACACTTTTACGGCTCATATTAATTTCTGTCCCTTCTGTCGTGTTGAAGACGGACAAGAAATATAGGTTTGGAATCATTGTTTAATGCGCTGTTGCTCGATATATTCGAATTTCTCAGCGGCGTCCATTTTCTTCGTGCCTTTCAATCTCATTAGTCGCCACAATGACAGCGCTTCAATTCCAGCTGTACATTCGTAGCTTTCCTATCATTTGAATTGTTAAGGAACACAGAATGTTCTGTAATGAAAGAAAACAAAGGTGACTCCTGTTGCTACTAGACGATCTTTGTTGAAGAAAAACATCGAAAATGCAACAGTTTTATTCAAATCTGATCATTATTTGTAGTGACTATCCTCTTTGTGAATTTTGTTGCGTTAATTTCATCTAAAAGAAGAGACGAAGTCGTATTTGGAACTAAAAAAAATTGATCAAGAAAGAATTGAGAATGCCATGGTGCATGCCCATGCTGTTGAACCATTTCGTATA